TCAGCAGGAGATGTTGCTTACTCTGTGTGCGGGCTTAACAAAACAGGTCCTGATCTCAGTGGTGTTTCACCAGAGGGCATCTGAATTGCACTAACAACAACCGCAACATACAGGCAGGATCCCCATAGTACCAAGGCACTGAGTACTTGTAATAAAACTAACATAAATCAAACAGGGTCTCCCCCACAAAGGTTAAATACAACATGGGCTCCCAAGTGGTGGGAGTTGACACCTAGAATATGGACCCTGGCCAAGCTGGCCGTGTACTTGACCAGAAAGGAGGGTCTGGCTGGCATGAATGCCTCATGCCTGCCGAGGCTGGGGGGACGTGGCGTGGCCCCGGGGGTGGGAGTGCGGTGGCAGGGAGCGGGGAGTTCCCACAGGTAGCCGCACTGATGTTGGCGGCTAGGGTGGGCCGAGTGGGGGCCGCCCACAGGCCGCTGCAGCAGTGTTGGTGCAGAGGAGGAGTGGCGAGCACTTACTGGCGCTTGAGAACCACCTGCAGATGCCACTGGCAGTATCACCGGCAAGGGGAGGGTGGCAAGCGGCTGCCACTGGCAGGCATCACTGGCACCATTGGCGGCATCCGGTGTCAGGGGGTGCACTGCCAGTCTCAGAGGCACCCCCTACATGTCACCACTGCTGGCCGGGTGGGTCTGCAGGGCCACTTTCCTCTCCTTGCTCCATTCCCGTGTCCAAGCTGGGCAGCGTCTGCTGGCTCCTTGGCACTGCCCGCGGCCTGCTGTGAGCCGTGTCCCTGCTTGGCACGCTTCTTTTGAACCTCTGAGGCACTCCTCCCCTCCCTGTGTGTTTTTATCATTCTTTGTCCCACGGATTCTGCTGTCCCCTTTGCCTGTGGCCTCCCCGCCTAAGGGAGGCCAGTGAGCGACTTCCTGGGCTGGGTCCCCGCTTCCTTGTCAAGGTGGACGAATCATTGGGGAACTTGGGGCGCCTAAGGCTTCCCCTGCCCTCGCGGGGGTGGGAGCCCCCTGACATCCTCAGGCGGGGGTCTTTACAGTGCTGCCAGGCCCTTGGGAGCCTGCCACCTCTCTCCCCTGCTGCATGCGCACGCGGACCCCGACTGGGAGCCCTCTGCTGGGACGGGGGAAGGCCACCCCGGCTGGACTGCAGCCGGGGCACCCCGAGGAGCCGGCGGAGGCCGGGAGGGAGGAGCGGGGCATTGCATCCTGCAAGCGGAGCCTCCCCGAGGGCACGTGACCCGTTCCCCATCTCCCGGGCGGAGCCGGCGCCGGAGCGGGCCGGGCTGCAGCCCCGCGCCGCAGAGCCCCGCCACCGCAGCTGCGCCTCAGGGGCTGCGGAGCCAGCATGTGGCGAGGGTAGGTCTGCAAGGCGTCCCCCTGCTGCGGGCGGAAACTTTCGTTTGCCCTCCCTGCCCCTGCCCTCGGCGGCTGCGGGAGGGTACTGAGGTGGGCCCCGCTCCACCGCACCCCGCGCAAACCCTTCCTCGCCCCGCACCCCGCGAGCATCATGCCCCTGGGGACAGCAGCTGGCAGAGCCGGGGCGCGAGGTCCTCTGCATTTCCCCGCTGCTCCCTGTGCCCGGCTCTCCTCGGCTTCCCAGAGAAGTTGCGGAGTTTCTGGACGGTGCCCTCTTCGCCGGGATGGTTTAGGCAGGGGTGGTCCTGCCTTGAGCAGGGACTTGATGACCTTGTGAGGTGCCTTTCAACCTCACTTTCCTATGACCCCCTTCTCTTTTCCCCCTTTGCTCTCTCCCCCCTCCAAGGCTGGAAGGGACCAGAGTTCGGGCAAGCAGTAGCCGGCGCTTTGCTGTGGCTCTGAGGGGAAAGCCAAGGGGCTCCTGGCAGATCCTACGGGATTCCCACCCTGGGAGGTCTGTCTGGTACCGGTCCTGGGGACTTGGCTCGCTCTAGTGTTGGCCTTGAGTGCCCATGCGCAGGCAGGACGTGCTCCACGCTTGTGCTCCCCAATGGCTGGGGACAGCAGACCTGCCGGTGCTTTGGATGGGGGAGAGGCTGGTTGTGTTTTTCCATCAGGATGGGCTGCCTTTCAGGAAGAAAGGAGGTGTCTTAACGCCTTCAGCTTCTTGTCCTTGGCTTTGAGCCCAGGGCCATGCTTTCTGCCTTATCTCCTCTAGCCCCTGTGTGTATGTAAAGAGATGGATGAGTGGTGGCAGAGACCTTTGTCTGGGGAAGGTGTCTGTTTTCCCCTGGCATTTGAGCTGTCCCGGACTAAAGCAGAGGTCTGGTCCGAGCAGCTGAGGAGGGAACAGGGAGCGACCTGCGGTTGGTTTCTGCAGTATGCACAAAGTTTCCAGAATCTCACATCCAGGAGGCTGCATTTTTTTCCGGAGGTAACTGATATTATTGGCTATGTCTTTGAGGAGCAGCCCGCTTCTGTCAAATGAGGCATGCAGTAGAGAGCAGGCGAAGGGGAGAGAGACCCTCTGAGCTGTTCCTTCTTGTTGTGCTTTGAGACCATGTTTTGTTCATCAGAGGTTTGTTCTCCTTCAGAAACCTCTCCTTAGCTGAAGGATGGGGCTGTATGAGAGGCAGGAACAGGGAAAAATGCCCTGGACTAAGAGGAAGCCACTTGCTCAAACAGAAGAAAGGGAGAAAGAAAAAAGACAGGGAAACCAGTGGAACAGAAGAACAGACGGAAAGATGAGAGTGTGTTAAGAGCACAGAACCAGACTGAAGGTAAAGGGACCCAAAAGTGTTAATGGCAGTGAAAAAAGGAGGTGGGAGCATGGGGAGCAAGCTCATCCTTAGAATTTTAGGTCTGGATCCTGCTGC